ATCACCTCACCCTTAGGGGGGGGCCATTTTGCCTTTTGCTGGCTTTATGGTCTTTGCTCGAGCAAATAAACAGCTGTCTTTCTTTACCCGCGTTGTCTGTCAATCAAATTACAGCTAGACAACGAACCTTAGGGAGGTTTCTCCCACCACATGGATGCAGTAAGAATACCAAGCTACCACAATTTTGCCTAACGGCCTTAAATCTAGACTACTAATCAAATTACAATCCAATTCATTTGCCATGTTACAGAAACAGAGTTTACAATATTTTAAATAATATAAATCATGGTGAGATAAATTGTTTTATGACAAGGAATTCAATGATACAGGAACTCAATGCAGGCCAGTAGCCTACACATGGGTCGGGTTGGGGGAGAGAAAGAATGTAATTAGTAAAGTGCATGAGTCAACATGACAAAACTATTTTAAAATCACTTACCAATATTTTAACTTTACTTTAGTCAAGTCATAAACTTCAATCACCTGAAAAAAGAAAAAAGTATATAAAAAAATAATATTCTGAATTCACAGATATTCAAAATATGATATTTAGGACAGACTGACTGACAAAAGGTAAAAGCAGTTATGAAGTTCTCTTTACCTAAAGGAAACCTGCTCAGTTGGCATCTAATTTGATGCAATTAAAAAGTGAAAAACCAATGCCCTAAAAATCACATTGCTAAACCACTACAAAGAACTAAGAATTTAACCATACAACTGTCTCAAGGTAAAAACTGTGTCCGAATGCTGGTGAGGGAACAGAAAAGAAATTTGTACTTTTGTCTAGAGCAGATGCAGGCAATTATTTTGGGTGGAGGGCTGCTTACCCAGTTTTGGCAGGCTGTCAAGGACAACATGGGTAGTGCTGCCCCTTGACAGGTGCCCTGCTCCCTGGTCACCATCTTTCGACCAATGTCCCAATGTCTTGGGACCAATGTCCCAGAGCCAGCACCGGTGGGGTCCAAGCAGGGCACAGGCTGGCAGGGCTCTGTGGAGCTGGGCTGGGCTGCACCAGCAAGGAGCGGGGGAACTGGCCCAGCTTCATAAAGACCCTGCCAGCTGGGACACCGTGCTCCTGCCACCCTGCTCTTAGCCCTGCAGGCACTGGCCCCAGGACACCAGTGCAGGCCCTGTGCTCCTGCTGGCTCCCCACCGACTCACTCCCAGTGGCCCCCCAGCCCCGCAGTACAGGCGGGGGGCAGTGCACAGCCCTGACCCCCTGCTCACCAGCAGGGAAGAAGCTGGTGCTGAGTGCCGGGGGG